CCCTCCCTCCCTCCCCTCCTTCTCTCCCTCCCCTCCCTTCCCTTTCCTTCCCTTTCTTTTAATGCACGGGTGTGTAGGCTCACATGTTGTGGGATATGTTTGCGCATGCTTGTGTGTGTGTGTGTGTGTGTGTGTGTGTGTGTGTGTGTGTGTGTGTGTGTGTGTGTGTGAAGGTGTGGTTCCTTAGACATTGTCCCCTACTCCCCAGCTTCAGGGTCTCTTACTGGCCTAGAGCTCATGACTTAAGATAGACAGGCTGGCCAACAAGGCCCAGAATCCTCTTTTCTCCCCTCCCCAGCATGGGGCTTATAAATGTGTACCAAGCTATCTGGTATCTTTATGTGCCTTCTGGGGATCAGATTCAGGTTTATGCTAGTGAGCACTTTACTCACTGGGGTACCTCCTAGCTCCCTCCTCATCCTCCATCCTCCTTTTTTAAAAGGATTTTTTGTTTTTGTTTGTTTTTGTTTTTTGAGACATGGTCTCTCTAAATAGACCTGGCTGACCTTGAACTCATAGAGATCCACCTGCCTCTGGCACCCAATCAAAAGGCTGGATTAAAAGGTGTGCACCACCACACCCTACTTCCCTGTTTCTTAAAAGGACAAGTGTGACTGGATTTAAGGTCTACCTGGATAATCCATGTGGCATCTACAGAGTCCGGGAGTTTCCCTGGACAGGAAGGAGAGGGGAAACTTCCTGCAGAACCTGTTTAGGGTTCCCAGGGACCACATGTCTCCCAGGTCCCTGTACATATCCCGTGGACTCTAGGTTTGCTCAGTGCTGTGCCCTTGGTATGTTTTAGGTATGTGATCTCCTTTGTCTCGCTTGTCTCTGTCATGTTCATCTCTTAGGATTAGTCTTGAAATGACATTTTCCTTCTTGTGACCATAGTTTTTTCAATTTATAGTTTGCTCTTTACATCACTTTATCTGATATTGTTAGGCACTGATAGTCTTCTGTTAAGACTTACTTTTAAAAGAAAAAAAATTTCTTCCATCTTGCAATTAGGTGAGTAACCTAAGATCTCATTATAGGTGGTTGTGAGCCTCCATGTGGTTGCTGGGAATTGAACTCATGACCCCTGGAAGAGCAGCCAGTGCTCTGAACCACTGAGCCATCTCTCCAGCTCCGTGCTTTGCTCTTTATTTGGTCATATTCTAGCTATGTTCTTTCCCTTTTCCATATTTGAAACTGGGACTGTGGTCAAAGCCTCAAACCAGAAACTGCATTAACCCCAATTATGACTTTCTTTGGATCTCTTGGGTGTTTAGCTGGTGTGACTGCTCACGTTTGGTTTCAGCTCTTTGTTAGGCTTCCCTAATTTGTCTAATTCAGAAGTTCTACTCTCCCTAGTCCCAGCACCTTCATGTCCTCTCTCCTGCTGTCTCTTTATCTGTTGGCTTTCAGTGCCTCATAAACTTAATGTTGGATGACCACGCCCAAGGCTGTGCTGCTGCAGCGTGGAGCATCTCCCCGTCAGAGCCACTGACTTCTTGTCTTCAGAAGCCTTCCTTGTCATAACTCTCTTTTCTTTCGCTTTTATAAACTCTTAACCTTCCTAATGCTGCGGCCCTGACTTAGGGGATACAGGTTTGCCCAAGTTCACTTTATGTTCATACAAGGACAAAACTGTCAGACAAAAAACGTTTCAAAGAACTTTTCCATCAATAAGCAACCCATATTACTATTAGATATTTAAGAGTTTCTGGCTATTATGAATAAAGCTGCTATGATCATAGTTGAGCAATGTCCTTGTGGTGTGAATGTGCCTCCTGTGGGTATATGCCCAACAGTGGCATTACTGGGTCTTGAAGTAGATTGATTCCCAGTTTTCTGAGAAACCGCCATACTGATTTCCAAAGCAGCTATACAAATTCACACTCCCACCAGCGTGGAGGAGTGTTCCCCCTTTTCCACATCCTCTCCAGCATAAGCTATCATTAGAGTTTTTGATCTTGACCATTCTGACAGGTGTAACATGGTAACTCAGAGTGATTTTGATTTACATTTCCCTGAGGACTAAGGATGTTGAGCATTTCCTTACGAGTCTTTCCACCATTTGAGATAGTTCTGTTGAGAATTCTGTTTATATCTGTACCCCATTTTTTAATTGGATTATTTGGTAGTTTAATGTGTAGTTTCTTGAGTTCTTTGTACATTTTGGAGATCAACCCTCTGTCAGATGTGGAGTTGGTGAAGATCTTTTCCCATTCTGTAGGGAGCCGTTTTGTCTTGTTGACCGTGTCCTTTGCTTTACAGAAGCTTCTCAGTTTCAGGAGGCCCCATTTATTCATTGTTGCTCTCAGTGTCTGTGCTACTGGTGTTATGTTCAGGAAGTGATCTCCTGTGCCAGTGCATTCAAGGGCACCTCCCACTTTTCTCTTCTAAGCGGTTCAGTGTAGATGGATTGATGTTGAGGTCTTTGATGCATTTGGACTTGAGTTTTATGCATGGTGATAGGTAGATATGGCTCTGTCTACAGCCTTTTACACGCCAACATCCAGTTATGCCAGCACCATTTGTTGAAGATGCTTTCTTTTACCCACTTTATAGTTTTGACAATTTGGTACAATTGTTGCCATGCAGGAAGCTTAGACGCAATAAACACCGTGTAAACTAGGCATGTGATGCATGTCTACAATCCTAGCCCCAGAGATGGGAGTAGGAGGATGACTATTTCAAGGTCATCTCTGAGCACCCAGAAAATTAAAGGCGAACCTGGGAGTGGGGTGGGGTGGTGGATGTTTTCATTTGGGGGAGTTGTGGGGCTGTTCCCTGTCACAGTGTGGTGGTTATGGAAAGCTACAGGATGTACACTAGGAAAACATAGAAGACAAAATTTTTTAGAAATGTTTTCAATCCAGTTGAAAGATTTTTAGATGTATATAAATTATAGAGTGATATAATACCAAAGAATGCATGGTGGTGAAATAGCAGAAGTGAGCTACATTGGTGACATGAAAAACAGAAAAATAATCAATAAAAAAGAGTGACAGTTTACAAAACTAACTTCAAATAAAGCTAATGAAGAACCAATTTAAGTCACCTATGTCAGGGACAAAAGGGAAACTGTTATGGCTGATACCAAGGACTTACCAGTAAAACAACAACAACAAAAACCCCAAAATACTTGAAGACTTTACAGATTTGACAGGTTAGGTTAAATAGGCCAATCCTTTAAAAATTGTAGCAAAATCTAAAATGAAATGGAACAATTTGTTTCTGTTAAATAAAACCATTTTATACAAAAGAACTTTCTTTAAAATTTTTTTGAATGGTTCAGAGATGGTCCTAAATAACCCTACTAAACATTTGTTTTGTATAGGGTGAGCAACAAGGATCTAGTTCATTCTCCTACTGTAGCTATCCAGTTTAACCAACACCATTTTTTTGAAAATTCTATTCAACTACATTTCTTTTTGTGAACCTACTCTTCCTTAGAATGTACAAGTAGTTTTTGGTGCAGTAGTTTTCCACCCAGGTGTTTTAAGCTAATCTAATTCATTTTCTTCCTTAAAAATGAAAACATATAGTTTTGAAATATTCAGATAATTTCTGGTACAGTAAAAATGAAAGACTCTAGGAGTCATCTAATGATAACTGGTGTTAATAAGTCTGGAATTCAATGTGTTAAGACACACAATCTTACTCCTCAATCTCAAGGAGCTGGGGAATGTAGCTCAATGCACTCCCTAACATACAGAAAGCCTGGGGTCCATTCCCAGAGCTGTCAAACATCTTTAACTTGGTTTTTCATTAATCACCTTTAATGCCTGATAGGTGAAACCAGCTGGGGTTCCCTAATTCAAGTTCCAGTGCCCGTTACTTGGAGATAGCGTCAGATCTCATGGCTCAAGCTATCAGTTAATCCCCAAGACTCCTTGCCTCCATAGGTCCCTTCACACTTGTTTTTAACCTGTGTTTCTGACCGGTTGCTCAAAATCAGGGTCCCACAGCCATCTTCTCGGGGTCAGTTAATATGCTCAAGTGAGTCACAGAGCTCAGGGAAACACACTTGCCAGTTTATTATGGAGAACACTACAAAGGACACAGATGGAAAGATACACAGGGCAAGGTCTGGAGGAAATTGCTCGAGCCCTCCGAGAATTTACCTGTCTCCAGCTCGCATGCTGAGTCCTTTCGCAACTCTGAAGAGACTTTATTGGGTACCAGATGTTAACAAGATGGGTATTAAAACCTGGCGAGGTTTGTCTTTGCACATTCCTTCCTCTAGGTATGTGCCAAGATTTCTTCTGAAGTGCCTATTGTATACCAGACAAGGAAGGCACAGGAAAGGCGAGGAGGATTAGTGTTTCTGTGACCAGCCACAAGAATGACATGTTTTAGTTTCTGCCACCTGCCCTAGAAATGCAGGTTCTGAGTGACAGCTTACAAAATAATTAAAATGGATATACCATATATCACAGTTGGTAGTATAATTTAGAATAAGTAGACATACTCTGAATTTTTTTTCCCATGAATGTTTTATCTTCTCATAATTTTCTTTGTTCCTGTTTCCTTTCTTTCCTTTTCTTCTTCTTCTTTCTTTCTTCCTGGTTTTTCGAGGCAGGTTTCTCTGTGTACTCTTGTCTGTCCTGGATCTCATTTGTAGACTAGGCTGACCTCAAACTCACAGAGATCCACCTGCCTCTGCCTCCCAAGTGCTAGGAATAAAGATAATGTGCCACCACCATAGGCTTATCACAATTTTCTTATCTATTTTCCTGATGGTAAACACCCAAGTTGTAATAAACATCTTTTATACCTATAATTTTAACTATTTGGATAATGTAGGGTAAGTGAAAATATTATCATTTTATATTTTAAGGGATATTTTGGGACTCTCAAATGATGTCAACATTGTGACTTTTATAGAAAATCAACCCAGTTCCAAACTTTCAAAAGACATCATTAATGTCTACCATTTTTTTCTAATAAGAGATTTTTAGTCACATGAAAATGTTTACAATGACCATTTGAAATGTTCTGTTCTGCAGTGATGGAATGGGGGGAAGATGTTAAAGCAATCTCTAATGACGAAGCAGTGATGTTGGTGAACCACCAGGCAACAGGAGACGTGTGCACGCTGATGATGTGCCTGCAGGACAAAGGACCAGTAAGTGCTCGGTGCCTCAGGCAGACAGCCTGCAGGGTGGGCTCAGACATGAAAAACAGAGTTTTCAGTCACCCCAGGAAAGGGACTTAAAGACTTAAAAGATAATGATGATGGTGTCTAGTGTTGAACTGTTGATTTTGCATTACTTATGTTAATAATTAAAAGTAATCAGCAAATCAAGTACATTTAAAGTACGTTTGCCTTTAATCACTCAAAGAATTATCACCTGGGAATTATGTTCCTAGAAAGCTAAATTAATAGTATATAAACTATTGGAGTTTTTATTAGGCCTTCAACTAAGTAAACCAGTAATAGATGTTCACTGATTACTTAACATTTATGATGAGTAACTGTAAGAAGTAAAGGACTTGACAGCAAATGTGGTGGCTAAAGCCTTTAGTCTTAGCAATAGGGAGACAGAGGCAGGTGGATCTCTGTGAGTTTGAGGCCAGCCTGGTCTACATAATAAAATTCAGGGCAGCAAGGTCTATGTAAAGAGATCCTGTCTCAAAACAAAACAACAAACAATAAAGACTCCATCTCTCCAGGAGCCAGCAGTCCATTATCAGGTGGGAGATGAGATCATAACAATATATAATTGCAAAACGAAAAGCCTGTATTTGAGGGTGAGCTCACCATGTGCCCGTTGACATAGGCCACTTTGCAGAGGAGAGTGCTCATATTCTTGTCCTTCAGGGTTAGGCAGAATTTAGCTAGGCTGCCTCTAGTAAAATGGTTTTGGCAAAACCTGAGGTAAGGTAAGTTTAAAGAGTTTTGAATCACCAGATAAGATCAGAAAATGAGGTAAAATCAAAAGAAAGTAAGTTTAGGTATTACATGATCTGTGTTTCTTATCTGAAAAGCAGGGATGTAATCTTGGTGGAGTGTGAAATAAATTTAGTCCTTCCTTATAATCATATTCTCAGATTATTAAAGAAAAACTGCTACTGTGTAGATGCATTTGTTCATACAATAAAATGAATTGTTTTCCCTTGAAATTCATAATGTAAAACTGTGTGTGTGTGTGTGTGTGTGTGTGTGTGTGTGTGTGTGTGTGTGTGTGTGTAGGGGGGAACCCTATTTGGCTTTCTGTAGAGGCAAATACCCAATTGCCAACATTTTTTAGTCTCACTGATAATGGTAATTACATTTATAACGATTACTCTGAAAGCATGCAATGTGCTTAAGTGGTCTTAAGTCTCAAAGAATGATTCAGATGATCAGTGTAAAATGTGCCTGTGTCCCATTCCAGTTTGTTGAGGATGATAACTGCATATTAACTTAATGTTAGGTAGTCATGGGAACCAAAGAAAGGCTGGTTTGTTGCCTTTGGTAAAATTTGAATTAATATGGTTAGACTTAATTGCCTGTCCTGAGAAATTGTTTACATTTGTTTTATTTTATTTGTATAATTATGTGTCTGTGTATGTCACATGTGTGTAGGTGCCTTGGATGCCAGAAGAGGGTGTCTGGTCCCCTGGAGCTGATGAGGGTGCTGGGAATCTCTCTCTACAAGAGCAGCAAATGCTCTAAGCCACTAAGCCATCTCTCCAGCCTGCCCTGAGTAATTTTGTATAATTCTATGATATTATCAAATAATTGAAATCTAGACATATTTTAAAACTAATTTCTACCCTTAGAGTTTTAATTTGTTTCCTCTTGCTTTATGAGCATGAGTCAGTATTAATTTATATTGACAAATAGAAATATTTATTTGATTGATTATTTACTCCATAGTCATTCAAAGGTTGAATGTCAAATTATATACCCATTTAAAATTCCTCTTGGGGCTGATGAGATGGCTCAGTGAGTAAAGACATTTGCTGCCAAACCTGATGTCTCAGGGTTTCTCTTGCTGTGAAGAGACACCATGACCATGGCAGCTTTTGTAAAGAAAACATTTAACTGGGGCTGGCTGACAGTTACAGAGGCTTGGTCCATTATCTTCATGTCAGCGTGCAGGCAGACATGGTGCTGGAGAAGGAGCTGAGAGCTCTGTATTTTGATCTTCAGGCAACAGAAGCAACTGTGCGCCATATTGAGTGTAGCTTGAACATGGGAGACTTCAAAACCCAACCCACAGTGACACACCTCCTCCAACAAGGCCACACCTCCTCCAACAAGGCCACACCTCCTCCAACAAGGCCACACCTCCTCCAACAAGGCCACACCTCCTCCAACAAGGCCACACCTCCTCCAACAAGGCCACACCTCCTAACAGTGCCACTCCCTATGGGGACCATTTTCTTTCACACCGCCACACCTGATAACCTGTGTTCAATCCCCAGAACCCACATGTTAGGAGGAGAGAATTGACACCTAAAAATTATCCTCTGACCTCCACATGTATGCATGTACACACATGCATGCACGCACAGATGGGGAAGGGAGGGAGGGAGGGAGGGAGGGAGGGAGAGAGAGAGAGAGAGAGAGAGAGAGAGAGAGAGAGAGAGAGAGAGAGAGAGAGAGAGAGAGAGAGAGACACGTTCTGTCTTACTCATTAGCCCTCCACTTTACTTTTTGAGACAGGGTCTCTCACTGAACCTGGAGTTCACAAATTTGGCTAGACCAGTGACCAGCAAGCCCTAGGGATCGTCTTGTCTCTACTCCTCAGCACCTGAGATTATAAGCACCTTCCACACTTGGCATTTACATGAGTGCTGAGAACCAAAATCAAGTCTTCATGCTTGCATGGTGTCTTGTCACTGCTCTGTTGCTATAAAGAGATACCACAACCAAGGCAACTTTCATAAGAGACAGCATTTAATTGGGACTTGCTTACAGTTAAGACGTGTGGTCCATTATCATCATTGGGGGTGCAGCATGGGGGCATGCAGTCAGGTGCTGTAGCTCAGAGTTGTACCCCGGAACCATAAGCATAGAGAGAGCACTGGCAAGGGCCACCCCCAGTGACACACTCCCTTAATCCTTCTAATCCTTTCAAACAGTGTCTCTTCCTGATGATTAAGCATTCACATATATGAGCCTGTGGGGGCCGTTGTTACTCAGACCACCACACATGGGAGGCGCTCTACCAGTGAGCCGTCCCTCAGTCCTGTACTCATGTGTGTGCACTTTCTCTTCTTAAAGCAGGTCAGTCTGATAAAGGTGGTGAAAAACCAAGGCAGGAGATACAATGTTTTTTTTTGAACCTTTATTGCCTTTTGTTTTGTTTTTCAAGACAGGGTTTTTCTGTGTAGCCCTGACTGTCCTGGATCCAGGCTGGCCTTGAACTTATAGAGATCCTCCTGCCTCAGTCTCTCTTGAGTGCTGGGATTAAAAACATGTGCCACCACCACCTAACTTCAGTTTCATTTTTTATGTATACTTATGACTTAGTGTTCTAATACTAGGAATGAAGACCAATAATTTTTTAAGATTTATTTATTTACTTATTATATACAGTATTCTGCCTGTATGTGTGCCTGCAGGCCAAAAGAGAGCACCAGATCCCATTATAGATGGCTGTGAGGCACCATGTGGTTGCTGGGAATTGAACTCAGGACCTCTGGAAGAGCAGCTAGTGTTCTTAACCTCTGAGCCATCTCTCCAGCCCAAGAGCTATAATTTTTTCATGTAAACTCTATTAGTAACTGTGCTGTATTTGCAGAAATATCACTAGATTTAAAATATTTACAACACTAGATGGACTTAGCAGACTGAATATATATATTTGTATGTGTATATATGTGGCGATATCTCTTTTTTATTAATTCATTTTTTACATTCCAATGTGGTGATATCTTGCTTGTATAAATAAAGCCTGGCTGAGGGTTGGAGAATGGAGCTTGCCACTAGCTAACCATAGAGGTTTGCAGGTCTGTACAGACAGACAGGAAGTGAGCTACCTGGGCAGAAATAAGATATAAGCAGGGAGAAACAGGAACTGGCTCTCTTGTCTGGGGAAACACTAAGGAGGTTAAGGTGTGGTCATGACTTGCTCCTTCTCTCTGATCTCTCAGCATGTTCCTCTATATCTGACTCTGGGTTTGGATTACTTAGATCAATTAAGAACTCCATTTATGGGGCTGGAGAGATGCCTCAGTGGTTAAGAGCACTTACTGCTCTTCCAAAGGTCCTGAGTTCAATTCCCAAAACCCACATGTCAGCTCACAACTGTCTGGTACCCTATTCTGGCATGCAGATGTACATGCAGACAAAGTATCCATATACATAAATAAATAAATCTTTAAAAAAAAAGAACTCCATTTATGTATATATGTGTAATAATAACTAAAGAACAAGTCATGAAATTGAGAGGAAGTTGGGGGGGTAGAAATGATATAATTGTAAAATTCATAAGAATTTGTCAAAAGAATAAAAAATATATTTAGTCACTAATTGAAAATATACTTGAATGATCATGTTGAAAATATGGAGACTTCACCAGATTCTACAGTGTGCTGTTGCCAGCACTGCCTTACCCACGTCTTGCATTTAATATTTCAGGCTGTTGCTCAGATGATGTGGCTGATGGATCACATCTTCAAGTACACAAACTTTGGAATTGTTTCCCTGATTCATGGGGACTTCTTTATCAGACAGGTGAGTGATGAGCATTGCTCTTTCAGTGTGCAGACGCTGGGACTGAGTGTTGATTATAAAACGGCAACATGACAAGCTGGTTGAGCTAGGTAGACCCTGTTCTGTCTTGGGAGCTCCTCCTCTGAATCTGCTCAGGCTCACTTTGGATATGGGTGATCCAGCACCTGCCACACCCGCTCTTCAGATTATTAGCTTATTTTTCACATCAAAGCAATAGATAATCTCCCACAAATAGTTTTGGGGATTAAGTGAAGTAAACATGTAAAGCCCTCAGAACAGTGCCTCCCAGCCTTACCATGCACACACTGTCATTACCTACCTTCTCCCATTGCTGTTATTTGCAATACCCTGTTGTGCGGTACCAGGGGGTGATTTTTTTTTCCTTTTTTGTTTTTCAAGACAGGGTTTCTCTGTGTGACAGCTTCTGGCTGTCCTGAAACTCATTCTGTAGACCAGGCTGGCCTCAGACTCAGAGATCCACCTGCCTATTGAGTGCTGTTATTGTTCACTGTCCCACCTGGCTGGAGATTATTAATAAATAAATATGATAATAATGATGACAATAATAGGAAATGTTGAGGGAATTCATAGTTAAGACAAGTGAGTACATCAGATGTCTGTGAATCCAGAAAATGCTTAGAGAAGAACATAATAGTTGGCGTATGGATCGGTTGAATGGAGGCTAGGTGGGAAGGGTTGTAATTGCGAGGTATAGTCTGATGTAGGCAAGAGAACTGTGACTCTTCCCAAGTCAGCATGCCTTGCATCGCAGCGTTTCTTATGTGTAAGCACGTCTGCAGATAGCAAGGTCATGTGTGCTTGTACTTAACAACTCTACTTTTGATTACATGGTCCCATGCACGAGTCCTTGATGAACACCTGACAGATAAAATGAATCCTGTTCTGAGGACCCACAAGTTAGGACATCGGCCAGAAGTAAGTGGAAAGCACAGAGGCCAGCAGCAGAGAGCTCAGCAGCCGGTCCCCTCAGCCTCACAAGGCAAAGCCTGAGGAGTGTGACATTTGATGTTAATGGTGGGCCTCAAGCATCAAGAGTCTAAATTCTCAGTGTCCTCCAGAATCTTTTCCATTTGATGGCAGTCAAAGTTTCAGAATGTTTTAGAATAACTGAAAATTAATTTCTAAAAAAACATCATTTTCCCCTCAGATTAGCAGTAAAGATTCTATAACATGGGAATGAATAGTACAGAAAAGGTGTTAGTTTAGCGAAGTGTGTTGGTGCAGCCTCTGATCCTAGCACTTAGAGAAAGACATGGAAGAACAGGGAATTCAAGGTCATTCTAAATGGCAAATTCAAGGCCAGTCTGGAACATATGAGATGCCTCCTCAAAAGAAAGAAAAAAAAGTTGTTAATTTTTTTTTTTAATTTTGCTTGGGACTTTGTTACTAGGCTACTTTTAAGAAAATCTCTGGGGGCTGGAGAGATGGCTCAGAGGTTAAGAGCACTCCCTGTTCTTCCAGAGGGTCCTGAGTTTGATTCCCAGCAACCACATGGTGGCTCACAACCATCTGTAATGAGATCTGGTGCCCTCTTCTGGGCTGCAGGAACACATGTAGACAGAACACTGTGTACATAATAAATAAATATTTTTTAAAAATCTCCAACAGTTATCAATAGTCTCCCAACCAAAAAAAGCCCAGGCCCAGAAAGAAGGTCTCAGCACAGAATTCTACCAGATGTTCAAAGAAGAACTAATACCAACACTCCTCAAATTATTCCACACAATAGAAACAGAAGGAACATTACCAAACTCTTTTTATCAGGCTACAGTTACCCTGATACCCAAACCACACAAAGATACAACAAAGAAAGAGAATTACAGACCAATTACTCTCATGAACATAGATGCAAAAATACTCAATAATAAAATACTGGCAAACTGAATCCAAGAACACATCAGAAAAATTATCCACCATCCACCAAGTAGGATTCATCCCATAGATGCAGGGATGTTTCAACATACCAAAATCCATCAATGTAACCTACAATATAAACAAACTGAAAGAAATAAAACACATGATATCTCATTAGATACTGCAAAAGCCTTCAACAAAATTCAACACCCCTTCGTGATAAAGGTGTTGAAGAGAATAGGGATACAAGGAACATACCTAACATAATAAAGGCAATATACAGTAACCCAACAGCCAACATCAAACTAAATGGAAAGAAACTTAGAGCGATCCCACTGAAATCAGGAACAAGTCAATGTTGTATACTCTCCCCATACTTATTCATTATAGTACTTGAAGTTCTAACTAGAACAGTAAGACAACAAAAGGAGATCAAGGAGGTACAAATTGGGAAAGAAGAAGTCAAACTCTTAGATATGATAGTATGCATAAGTGATCCCCAAAATTCTACCACTGATAATCACCTTCATTAATGTAGCAGGATACAAGATTAACTAAAAAACAAAAACAAACAAACAAAAAAAACAGTAGCCTATATACAGATGATAAACGGGCTGAGAAAGAAATCAGAAACGTCATCCTTCACATTAGCCACAAACAAACAACATAAAATATCTTGGGGTAACTCTAACCAAACAAGTGAAATACCTGTATGACAAGTCTTTAAAGAAAGTAATTAAAGAAGATAGCAGAAAATGGAAATATCTCCCATGCTCTTGGATAGGTAGGATCATCATAATAAAAATGACAATCTTACCAAAAATAATCAACAGATTCAATGAAATCCCTATCAAAATCTCAACACAATTCTTCACAGACCTGGAAAGAGCAATACTCAACTACAAATGGAAAAAAAAAAACCCCAGGATAGCCAAAACAATCATCTGGGGGCATCACCATCCCTGACTTCAAACTCTACTTAGAGCTATAGTAATGAAAACAGCTTGGTATTGGCATAAAAAGACAGGTGGACCAATAGAAGCAAATTTGAAGACCCTGATATCAACCCACACACCTATGAACACCTAATTTTTGACAAGGTAAAAATATAAAATGGAAGAAAGATAGCACCTTCAGCAAATGGTGCTGGTATAACTGGCTGTCAACATGTAGAAGAATGCAAATAGATCTATATCTATCATCACGCACAAAACTCAAGTTTAAGTGAATCACAGACCTCAATATAAATCTTATCTACACTGAATCTCTTAGAAGGGAAAGTGGGAAATACCCTTGAACTCATTTGCACATGACACCACTTCATAAATACAACACCAGTAGCACAGACACTGAGAGCAACAATTAATAAATGGGACCTCTAGAAACTGAGAAGCTTCTGTAAAGCAAGAACATGGTGAACAAGACAAAAACGGCTCCTTACAGAATGGGAAAAGATCTTCACCAACCCAACATCTGATAGAGGGCTGATCTCCAAAATATACAAAGAACTCAAGAAACTAGACATTAAACTACCAAATAATCCAAATAAAAAATGGGGTATAGATCTAACAGAGAATTCTCAGCAGAACAATCTCAAATGGTAGATTCTTAGTCATCAGGGAAATGCAAATTAAAACCACTATGAGATACCATCTTACATCATCAGAATGTCTAAGATCAAAAACACTAATGACAGCATATGCTGGAGAGGATGTGGAGTAAGGGGAACACTTCTCCACTGCTGGTGAGAGTACAAACTTATACAGCCGCTGTGGAAATCAGTATGATGATTTCTCAGAAAATTAGGAATCTGTCTACCTCAAGACCCTGCAATACCACTTTTGAACATATCCCCAAGGGATGCACATTCACACGACAGTATTCATAATTGCCAGAAACTGAAACCATCCTAGATGCCCTTCAGCTGAAGAATGGATAAAGAAAATGTGGTGCATTTACACAATGGAGTACTACTCAATGGTAAGAAACAATGATATCCTAAAATTTGCAGGCAAATGGACATAGAAAAAAACATCCTGATTGAGGTAACCCAAAACCAGAAAAACAAATATAGGATATACTTACTTATAATTGGATACCAGACATAAAGCAAAAGATACCCAGCCTACAATCCACAACCCCAGAGAAGCTAGAACCCTCTTCCAGAAACAGATGAAAGCAGAAGCAGAAATCCACAACTAACCAATGGGCCAAGCTCCTGGAGTACAATCAAAGTGAGAGAGGAATGATAATATGAACAGAGGAGTTAAGACCATGATGGAAAACCCACAGAATCAGCTGACCCAAGCTAGTGAGAGATCACTGACTCAGGTCTGACAAACTGGGAACCTACATAAGACTGAACTAGACTTCCTTAATGTAGGTGACAATGGTGTGGCTGGGACAATATATGAAACCATTGGCAGCATGTACAAGGTCTAACTCTAATGCACAAACTGACTTAATGAAGCCCATTCTATGTGGAGAGATACCTTACTCAGGCTAGTCACAGGGGTGTGTGGGGGTGGGGAGGTGTTGTGATCCTGCCTTAAGGAGATGATGGGACAGACTTAGTAGACTTCCTAGGGGAGACCTTATCCTCTCAGAGGAGCAGATGGGAGGTGGGGGGAGAATTAGGGGGAATAAGAGGAGAGGGGGATTAAGATTGGAATGTAAAGAATAAATTAATAAAAAAATGTTTAAAAAACATTTTCTGTTTGGTCCCCTCTAATCTTGTCACATTGGCTAGGGCACTGTTCTTCCTTGTTTTATTTTTGGGGGGAGGTGAGGGGATTCGAGACAGGGTTTCTCTGTGGCCATGACTGTCCTGGAACTCACTCTGTAGCCCATGCTGGCCTCAAATTCACAGAGATCCGAATGCCTCTGCTCTGCCTTCAGTCTGCTGGGCTTAAAGGCATGTGCCACCACTTCCTGGCCTCTTTGTCTTTAAGGCATGGTCTCACTGTGTAGTCCTGGCTTGAAACTCACTATGTAAACCAGGAGAGTCTTGAACTCATTGAGATCACCTGAGTCTGCCTACCAGTGCTGGGATTAAAGATGTGTGCCCGCACACCAGGCCCCAACATGTCAAGCATGTTCCCACCTTGGGCTGTATCTTTGTCTTGTCACCTGGAGTCCTCTGCCTTCCTCTTCAGGGTCTATTTCCTCATGTTGTCTCCTGCTCGCCTGCATCAGCATGCCTTGCTCCTCCTGCTCCTCTATCTTTAGTGTTCTTTTCTTCCTCAAGCACAGCACCAGTGGAGTTCACACCCCACACTCAGCACTTTCCCAGGGGATCTCCTGTTTATACCCTGTTTCTGGTGTTGGGATTGTATTTGACAAATAGTAGACACTTACTATAGGGCCACCAAAGTGGTGAGTTGCTTTTTCTTCAGGAAGAAGTTCTTTGTATAAGTTTGAGTGATCCCTTCCCCTTTACCACTACAATAAAAAAGAAATGACGGGAAAACCACTGTTCTGTCCTATGGTTGGATTTCAAATTGAAGCAGTTGTTTTAATTTCAACTCCGTGTCCTCCAGGGAAGATCCTACCGTGACCAACAGCTGCTGGTTCTCAAGAAGCACCTAGAACAGAATTACAGAAGCAGAGATCGAAAGTGGATTGTTTTATTTCCTGAAGGGGGCTTCCTCAGGAAGAGGAGAGAAACAAGCCAGGCATTTGCCAAGAAAAATAACTTGCCATTTCTTACACATGTCACTTTGCCGAGGTTTGGGGCAACAAACATTATCCTGAATGCCCTTGTAGCAAGGCAGGAAAATGGAAGCCCAGCAGGAGGAGATGCTAGAGGGTTAGGTAAGTGAGTGCCTTAGAGCTAATTTCTTGCCTTGTTTAACTGAAGTGTTTTCTACAGTTCCTGTCCTTTTTTGTTTTTGTTTTGGGTTTTTGTTTGTTTTTTTGGGTTGGGTTTTTTTTGTTTTTTGTCTTGAGACGATGTCTTTACATGTACTCTTGAGCTGTCCTGAAACTGTAAACCAGGATGGTCTCAAATGCAGAGATCCACTTGCCTCTGCCTTTTGAGTGCTATGATTAAAGTTTTCACCACCGTGCCTGTCCCAATTCTTTTTAAATAACTTTTGACAGCTGTAATTAACAGTCACGAGAGGATGAAGTTATTATCTCTTCATATTTCTCTTTAAAAGTAGTTGATGCTCACAACAGTGCACTAAAATAAGTACAAGTACAAAGTCAGAGATGTCTTTCCTGCCTGCCTGTTGTTACTCAGGATGATTTCTAACAATAATGATACAAGTAACTTTTTACTTATTAAATTGAGAAGATATTGTTTGCTTTTAATAGACAACATAGTTAATGTAACTTGTCGGTGTTTATTAAGACCCTTAAGGTATCAATAAATGACTCAGTCATCCTACTACATAATTATCCAAAAGAAACAATCTTAGTCGGGCTTGTTGACTCGTGCCAGTGAGTCTAGTACTGGCGAGTTGTCATCGTCGGAGGAGGAGGAGGAGGAGGAGGATCGCCTCAAATTCAAGGCCAATATAGGCTGCAAAATGAGACTTTGCATCAAAAAGAAATAATAATATGAATATAGGTAATGAAAAAGTCACAATTTTATTTATAATAAACCAGACAGAGGGCCGGGCGGTGGTGGTGCATGCCTTTAATCCCAGCACTCAGGAGGCAGAGGCAGGCGGATCTCTGTGAGTTCGAGGCCAGGCTGGACTGACAGCCTCCAAAACAATACAGAGAAACCCTGTCTTGTAAAACCTAAATAAATAAATAAATAAATAAATAAATAAATAAATAAATAAATAAACCAGGCAGAGGAAGACTGGGTGAGCAGATCTTCACTTGTCCATATAGTACAGCCATATGATGCTTATGGAGAAGTACAGCCATATGATGCTTATGGAGAGTGTGGGTTGCCTGGCAAAGTACTTACGCTACATTGGGGGTGTGTGTGGGAGGGACAACATACAAGCCTTGTGAAAATAATGTGAGCTCTGGACTAAACCACCAGACAGCAGGAGTGAGTGACAGGAAAGACGCCATGGTGTTAGCAGAGATCCTCCATGAGCTGTAACAGTGTGGCTCATTCTCCGAGATCTAAAATAATAAACACATGCCATTTTAATAGCCAGGAAAGAGTAAGCAGTGTTCAGTGATGCAGCTCCCTGGGAACAGCCCAGCAAGCCGTGAAGTTTCACAGAAGCTGTGTTTGCACTAGTAGCAAGAGCAGCTTCACCCAAGCTTCACCCAAGCCACTACTACAAAAGCTTCCTGGATAAACAGCTCAGAGAGACTCACAAGGCTGGTTTCTTTGATAGTATTTTTAATTCTCTTAGTATTATTTAAATCCGTGTTGAAACAACTGACTCTCAGAAACACTTCAGATTGTGTACAGCACAGATGCAGAAGTAACGCCCATGAGATTGCTCAGCGTCTTCCCTTTCGTTTGCTTTTTTCAAGCGGCTACTTGGCAGTCGGCTTCCTTAATCATTCATCATCTATTAAAAAGGCAAATTGAAAGAGTCTTTTAATAGAAAAGGAAAGTTCAGAGTAGCTTCACTGCTGGAGAGACACTGTGGCAATGTCAGGCAGGCCAAAGTTGGAAGCAAAGGTCTTCCATAGAGGGCTAGGCCGCTGTTTGCACAGTCCACCCAGGCACTAGCATTTTATCCTCTGGACATAAACTCTACCTTTGTGTTGGTAACGTGTGCACCAGGCCCATATCAGAGTTCTTTTCTGCCTGGTGACCTTTAAAGGCATCAGGATCTTTTGCTTTTGCTTGTATATTGTATGATAACTCTTCCTGAACTGAACTTTGCTGGGCTTTTATACTCCCTTTCATCCTGAAAATGTCTGAACATGAAATTCAAAGACCTTACAGTGACTGTCCATGAGCTGCAGAGTGCACTCTAAATTTTTTAGCAATTTTTTGTCACATCTCCCTCTGCACTTCTTTCTGACTGTTAGTTCATTTTGTTTTGATTGGTTTTTTTTGTTTTGTTTTGTTTTGTTGGGTTTTTTTTTTGGTTTTTTTTTTTTTTTTTTTTTTGGTTTTTGGTTTTTGGATATAGGGTTTCTCTATGGCTTTGGAGGCTGTCCTGGAACTAGCTCTTGTAGACCAGTCTGGCCTCGAACTCACAGAGATCCGCCTGCCTCTGCCTCCCGAGTGCTGGGATTAAAGGCGTGCGCACCAACGCCCGGCTGTTTTGATTGTTTTTTTGGTTTTTGGTGCAAAGTTATGTAACCCAGCTGGCTTGAACCACTCACCCTCCTGTTCTGCTGTGATCTCCGAGTGCTGGGTTTACAGGTATGTGTCACCATGCTCAGAGAAAAAATGTCCTTTCTTACAAATTGTTCCCACTTTAGAGTGGTGTTCTAAAACCTTTTAAGGAATTTAAAGCTGGTTTAATTTCTAAGAAGGAAAAGTAATACATCATTGGCTCCTACTACAATGTAGACTGGAAGATGGTGTAGAAGCTTCACTCACAGAGCAGGTAATGTAGATTCTAAGCACTGACAGCCAGTGCTCTCTGTGAGGAACCCCCCTTTCCTGCTCAGCTTTGTATTCGTGGGTGAGGAGAAAACAGTGTATGAATGCCCTGACTGATGGAACGTCCCATCTCCTCTGCTCACTCCTGCTAAAATGCTCGATTTTATCTCCATTTTCTATATTTGTTCATGTCCCCTAAGTATTAGTGTCATGACTTTTGTTTACATTTACTGATTTGGTTTTGAAGTCTGCTTTTCATTTTTATGATGTTTTCTTTACCCTCTGACCTCATAGACTGCTCTGTGTAGGAGTGATGATGTGTAATAAGACCTTGATTGTGCATCATTTACTTAAGATTTGAATGAGGCATGTTTAATAAATAATAGTGTCCTATTGTTTGTTTAATAAATAATAGTGTCCTATTGTTTGTTTTGATGTAATCTGCTTTATAGTAAGAGTGCCTTAATTTTATGCTAAGTGCAGTGTAGAACAGCAGGGACAGAGTCCACCTTTTATCTCACAGCACAGGCACATTGGGAAGCTCCAGCTATCTGTGAGTTCTGTACTGCATGGGCAGAAAATCTCTCCCAACTCAAGTCACTTTTCCTTTATTTTCAGATTGCAAACCAAGAGGCCTCCAGTGGATAATAGATACAACCATAGCTTATCCCAATGCTGAGCCAATAGATATTCAGACCTGGATCCTTGGGTACAGAAAACCAACAGTCACTCATGTCCATTACAGGTCAGTACGGTGACTCAGTGTGTCTACCAGAGCTACCTCAGGACACTTTGAGTATTTTAACATTTAACTTAACCACACAGTAGAAATATTCACATGGCCATGTTTATAAGAAAGGAAAAATCATCCTTATGCTGAATTTTTAATATGAGAATTCATTTGAAGTAGTTATTTTCACTGATGATAAAGATTTCCAAAACCTGCATTCCATGGTGCTGTGATTAATCCGTTGCCTGGTATTCTTAAGTAAAGAGTGAGCATCGGGGCTGGAGAGATGGCTCAGAGGTTAAGAGCACTGACTGCTCTTCCAGGGGTCCTGAGTTCAATTCCCAGCAACCACATGGTGGTTCACAACCATCTATAATGAGATCTGGTGTCCTCTTCTGATATGCAGGAAGAACACTGTATACATAATAAATAAATAAATAAATCTTAAAAAAAAAAGAAAAAGAGTGAGCATCAAGGATAAATGCCCTCTCAAGGGGCTAAGCAGACATTCATGAACAGAAATGAAATTTTTGCAAAATCATTAATAATAATATTTCTGAATGTTTTTCTTAATAACTCAGGCATATTGCACCTATAAATTTTTAAATTTTATTTTTAAAGTTTTGTGTGTGTGTGTACAATGAGTGCAGGTGCTGTGATAGGTCAGAGGTGTGTCTGTCAGTGGTTGTGAGCTGCACCCAGTGCTGGTGTTGAGAGTGGAACCCAGGTCTTCTGCAAGAGTAAACGTCTCCAGCCCCTACATTTTAAACTTATCATGCTGATGCCTATTGCATAAATAACAGCAGAAACATTTAGTGGGTATTTTGTGCTAGCTTCTTAATATTATTAATATAAACTTTTTGAAGGAGTTTCATGTAAACGCATGATGATGTTTGCCTGGCGTTGATGACCCATATATAGATTAGGCCACTTCATCAGTCACTTGACTTTGCTTGTCAGAGACTAGACATGGGAGGCAGCAGCCTCAGGAAGAGCTCAGCTGCACAAAGCCCTCAGAGCAAGAGGAAAGCGGCTCAAATGTATTTGCATATGTGCTCTGGGTCATTGCATCAGCGTTCTTCAAATACAGATGGAAAAACTTGAAACTTATATTTCGCAACTAAAATGTGATGCCTGTGCTAGGTCATCACTCTACTCCTGAGCTGTATCCTCAGCCCTGAACAAAGAGATTTTTGTTTGTTCAGTCTTTTGAGACAGGGTTTCACTGTGTAGCCTTGGCTGCCCTGGAACTCACTCTATAGACCAGGCTGGCCTCAAACTCACAGAGATCCACCTGCCTCTGTGTCCTGAGTGCTGGGATTAAAGGTGTGCGCCCCCCACTGCGTGATTGACCAAGATTTCTTTTTCTTTTTTTTTAAACAGTGACTAAGACACTATTTTTATTTATGTATATCTCCCTGTGTATATTCCACTTGTATGTAGATAACCATGGAGGCCAGAAAGGACATCAGATTCTCTGGAACTGGAGTTACAGAAAGTTATGAGCTTCCCCTTCATGGGTGCTGGGACCTAAACACAGGTCCTCTGCAAATGCAGATGTGCTCTTAACCATTGAGCCATCTGTCCAGTCCCCTACCCTCCCCACCCCACCCCCCCAGAGATATTTAAAGTAGAAAATAGCAACTAAAGGCTCTCAGTTAGCTCAGTGTGGTGGCTCATGCCAGTACCCAGCTCTCCAGAAACTGAGGCAGGAGGATTATCTCTAACTCAAGGGCAGCCTGGGTGCAGTGAGGTCCAGATCAGTATAGACAGTGGGGGTAATACTCTTTATAAACACACAACACAGACTGCCATTTAGTGTGGACATGGTCAGCGGGGTTTCTCTACTAGCCCCTATTAGTTCTCAGGGATCCACCCATGAGTCCTCTTAGTGTTTAGTAATCTTGTACTTTCATCTTAACATTAATCATAACAAAAATATTCAGAATAATGACAATCATAATTGAGTAGTATTATATGATTCTGGTGTCCACATTGCAATCACTGTGATACCATTTTATTGCTGTAAAAGTAAAAGGCTAGAGAAGTAAACAGAGCATACTTCAGAGAAAAGGATACTTTAAGATGCTTTTGGCCAGAATGCCTTATCACAGTGACAAAAGGGAACTGAGTATTTTAATCCCATGGTAACCTAACAGCCAGAGTAAAGGAGGAGACTGCTCTTGGGTCTGCCCGCCTGGCATGTTCTAGTCATGAGAATGTGCAGGCAGCTCTGGATACACCAGTATCTTGTTCCAACTTTATGTCTTACAACTTCCCTCTGTATTCTGTTATAGATTACTCAGTGCTTGCTGTGTGTGCTCTATTTCACAGTCACATCACACAGGATGCCCATCACCTACCCGTCCCATTTCTCCCTATCTGAATTCTACCCTTGTCCTTAAGACCCAGCACAAATCAGTTACAAAGCGTTCCCTAGTCTAAGAAGGCCACACATCCAGTGACTATTATGGAATACATACTCTCTGGAAAAGAGATTAAATACTGTTGACTCACACCAGCTAACACTTGCAGTATGTACTATATCATATAATATTAATTTAATTTTTGTTAACTTAAAATCAGGCCTGATTGAGGATGATTTAGCAGGAACCATAAGGTCAAAGAAGATCTTAAGTAGTCTATATCTTTATGTACAGAAAGCCAACACTGAATCTAAGACTGAGTTAAAAGCAGGAGTTTGGGTTTAACAGGTGAATTCTTGAAGGAGTAGTGTGATTGTTGGGCTAAATGGGGATCAGCGTGGAGAGCAGGGCAGTGTTTGCACTGGGTCTCCATCCCCCACCATCTGCCCAGAGCTGCCTGGACATCCTCCTGACGAGAACACAGTCAGGAGGGCAACCCAGTGCCCACTCCCAAGAGCAGTCTCCCTCTTTGCTCTGGTTGTTAGGTTACCACAGGGTTAAGATATTAAAATGAGTAATCCTCTAATCCTGCAAGGGATCAAATGCACTGAGTACCAGTTCTCCTGAGCCAAACAAGAAGAGTTCTTAGACCTATAAGGTAGATAAGCCTTTACAGTCCCAATAGCTACCCAAGTGAGAAACAAGTGCCTCATTTTTAAACAATGGAAGTCTTATTATCAGCAATCTAGAATGTACATGTAAATAAAAAGTATTTCCCCTAATCCATAAAATTCTGTCTTAGAATACTCCATGGAATTTCACTTTTAAAAAAGACATAAAAAAAAAAAGCTCAGCTTAGTAGGCGGCAGTCTGCTGATGTAGTGGTTTGGGTGTATTTGGTCTCCATAAGCTCACAGGGTGTGATAGTAGGAGGTATGGCTTTGTTGGAGTGGATATGGCCTTGTTAGAGGAAATGTGTCCCTGTGGGGGCAGGCTTTGAGGTTTCCTCTGCTCGGGATACTATCCAGTGACTCAGTGCACTTCCTGTTGCGTGCAAGCTGTAGCCAGCGCCATGTCTGCCTGCATGCCACCATGTTCCCCACCATGATGATAATGGCTGAGCCTCTGAACTGTAAGGAAAATTACATTTTCTTTATTAGAGTTGCCGTGATCATGGTATCTTGTCACAGCAATAAAAACCCTAACTAAAACACCTGGAAACGCCCAGAGAGACAGAACAGATTATAATCTGCAGTCTGTGATGTCTAGAGGTGCGTGTGAAGACTGCGGTGATGACTTGGCACTCTGAAGACCTTGGGCTTGATCTCCTGTGTCACAACACTAGAGAAGGCTGGGGAGATGGCCGCCTCATCAATTAAGAATGACTGATTGTTCTAGCAGAGGATCCAGCACTCACTCACATGATAGCTTACAACTGTCCATAATTCCAATCCAGGGGACCCTGTGCCCTCTTCTGACCTCCCCAGGCACCAGGCACTCACATGGTGCAAAAACAGACTCATACACATAAAATAAAACAAATATTTTAACATTTTTTCTCTGTTCATAAAGCCCGTATTTTGATATACTTAATAAGAAACTAAGTTTGGGCAAATTTTGTCTGGTTCTTACTTTCTCATAAAGTAACATTCCTAAGGTACATTCTTTGCCTAGCATTTAAATTGTGTGTGTGTGTGTGTGTGTGTGTGTGTGTGAGTGCACGCACGTACGCGCGCACACATGTGCATGTACGATTCTTTTTTTTTTTTTTTTTTTTTTTACGAGACAGGGTTTCTCTGTATTGTTTTGGAGGCTGTTGGTCCAGCCTGGCCTCGAACTCACAAAGATCCACCTGCCTCTGCCTCCCGAGTGCTGGGATTAAAGGCGTGCACCACCAACGCCCGGCGCATGTATGATTCTTTAATGAAGCTAAGTTAGGGTTCTGAGTGGTTTTCACTTCTGCATTAAGTAGCTCTTTTTGTTTTTGTAAATCTTAATAGGATGTTTCCAATTAAAGATGTGCCCCTGGAGACTGATGGCCTTGCCAGTTGGCTCTACCAGCGGTTTATCGAAAAGGAGGCCCTCTTGTCACATTTCTACAAAACAGGTACAAAATACCCCATTCACACTTGTGAAGTTATCAAAGGTACTAACATGTGCTTTAGAGGATATAAACATCTTCCAATTATTTATTTTTTTCTGTTTTATTGTTTCTGATTATGTGTAGGGGTGTGTGGGGGTATGTGTACATGAGTACAGGTGCCGGAGAAGGCCCCAGGCTTCAGAATCTCTGGAGCTGGAGCTACAGATGTTGTGAGTCACGTCATATGGGTGCTGGGAACAGAGCTCAGGTCATCTGAGGAGCAGCAGACGCTCTTGACCTCTGAGCTCTCTCTCCAGACCTTCTTCAGGTGTTTATATTAGAAATCAGTCATTCAGTATGTAAGCATTTCAACGTAGAATTTATGGAAAGAAAGTTTATGTTGATGTGTTTAGGTTCTTACTTCATCAGCCCTTACACAGGATGGAGCGATGAGCGTGTCACACAGTGTCATAGCTCAAGTGCAGAGGAATACAGACAGCTTCGGGAGAGCGGTGGCTACTGGATGGGGGTGAAGCGACAGTCATGCTTCGACATTGTACTTCTGTCTTAATACACACTGTAGTCATCTGAAGCTGCACTTTTACGTGCTTCTCCCTCCTTCCAAGGAGACATGTATTCTCTTGCCTGCTGTTAGTTCACAGTTACTCGGCCCCATTGCTTTGGGGCTGTGTCACAGCAGAAGGTGGCAGATGTCCTTCTCTCAGCAGAAAGCACAGAGTCAGGGTTTTACAAGAAAGGATATAGTTTACTATTTTCAAGGTGAGCGTCAGTTAGTTCTCCTTGGGGGGATAGGAGCCATTCTTACCTCTTGTATTCTCAGCATTCTGTAGAGCCTGTGATAGCTACAGTGAAGCTGGCCATGATAGCATAGGGGTAGTTAGTGCCTGGAGAGCGGAGGAGCTGGGCAGGGAAGGGCAGGTTAATTCAAGGCTCAGCTGGTGACTCAGGTGGTGAGAGAATAGTCCCTAACCTCCCACCCTTCGTCTCTTGCCTTCTGACATTGCCAAAGTTGTATCAACAATGGTGAGCCTCTTGAAAAAGGCCACTTGCATACCAGACCTTGAGACTGGAAACGGCCCTGTGAGCTGCTTGTGAGCAGCAAATCTTTTATGAGCCAGCTTACCCGGGGATTATCATCAGGGACAAAGACTGGAATGCAAGAATGGCAGATGATCTTGGTAACACCACACCGAAGCTTTCCTTTCCAGAAAAAATAATTAGACGTGCTTACTTTGTATTCTCTTTCTTATTGTGAAGATACTGTATTTTGAGAATATCAGTGTTGTTTATAACTACTTTTGTGGCAAAAAAAATGCTACTTCAGAAATTATTAGATGCCAGTTTCACAGATGCTGTGTCTGACCACTGTGGAAATGTAGCTAGCTGTCCAGTAGGGAGCCAGGCAGCCTGAGTGCCTGCTCGCACAGGTTTGATTCCAGTGGAGCTGCACAGCAGGTAGACCTGCAGAAGGAAAGCAAATAGACCTTGCAGATTGGGAGACAGGACGGCGGAAGGAGGGTGGCGTTGCTTCTGATCTGGGATGGACACTGGTGCCTCAGTCAGTCACCCAGTGAGTTGCTGGACAGCTGGTTAGCTTAACAGTTGTGTGTAGAGGAAATCTCTGCAAAGTAGGTCAATTCACAGAAAAACCTAACTGTGGGTGAACACTTAGCTTTATTTCAGGAGACGTGTACTGCAGGGAAACACCTCCCTCTCTGTCTTGTCTTCCAGGAGCCTTTCCTCCTGCCCAGGGCCAGAAGGAGGCTGTTTCCAGGGAGATGGCCCTCAGCAACATGTGGATATTCCTCATCCAGTCCTTCGCGTTTTTGTCAGGCTATCTGTGGTACCACATCATCCAGTATTTTTACCATTGCCTATTTTAGGAACTGACTTGGACTTGCCACATAGGAGTTCAGACTTCATACATGTGCGTTATTTTACATGTGCAAATCTAAATATACAAATCAAAATATATAAAAAGCAAAGGAAATTCAGATGGATGGATTACTGTTTGTCCCCCTTTGGGATATTTTAAAACTGCTTCAAAGAGGATCAGTAATGCAATGATGTGCTAATATATTTTAAGAACTTTTTGTGTTTTAAAGAGATACACTCTACCATATGTTTCTGCAAGCATCACACTGGGAGAAGAGGAAATCATAAAATCATCCTAGAAGACTCCAAAAGAAACTGTCACCACCAGATGCCCTTGGTCACGCCCCATCCAGAAGCTGTGTTCCTCTTTACTAGGGCAGAGTGTCACAACATTGATGTGCCCACCCACCACGCTGAGGTACTGCTCTCCTTGGAGAGCTGGCGCGCGGGCCTGAGGAGTGGTCTCCTTACCTAGCAAGCTGCAGTCCTCAACCCTGACTGAGGTGTGGTGTTGGCTTTCTGTGAGGAGCGTGTCCACTGTCCACTGGCAGCACTGTGTCCCTGGAAAGGCCAGAGTAGCCCAGCACCGTGTTTACATGTGCTAGTGCTTTCCCTTCTGTCGGGAAAGGGAAAACACCACTTTCTTTTTCTGTATAGAAGGCGCATCATAGAATGGTAATTGTATTTTATAAAATGCACTTTTATCAGATGCAAACATAGCAAGGATAGCAGAGTAGTCTGAAACAAGGGAAGCCCACCGTGGGCAGGCTCCCAGGACGCTTCCTGTCTGTCTGCTCGCCGTGATGTGCTCCAGCACCACCTTCAGTGGTCACCGCCCCCTGTTCTGACATAGGACCACCAAATGCATTTGGGGGTAGTTAATGTAAGCATTTAAATGACCAGCTTAAGGGAAATAGACTAGCTTATTAGGAAATAAAAGGTAGAACCAGACATTGGCTTGCAGTATTGACAAAGCCTCCTGTGGCCCCCAGAATCTGTGCAGACATCAGTTTGTTCTGTCATTATGTCAAGTGGCTGCCCTTCTCAGGGTGGCAGGACCAGGAGACAGCAGCTCACTACGCTTCCCAGTCTCTCCCAGTTGTTTTTGAAGAGGACAAAGTCAAGCAAGTTTTTCTTCATTTCTAGAAAACTTTAAACAATTGTCATTGTGTTCATGTGATTACCTCATAGGAGAACCAAATGTTGTAAGAGGTACAGGCACCGCATCAGTACTGGCACAGTAAAATTCCCAAGCTGGGGTATGTCAACAGTAGTTTTCTGTGGCATGAACACTGTAGATTCCCCTGTTGTTACTAACAACACAAATAACAATTCTGAGAAATAGACAGTAAAACAAAAATTAAAGTCTCTTTTCTGTTTTCAAATAAACCAAAAAAAGGAAAAGATGTGGATTTTCCCCAGTTGTACAGGAAAGGTTGACCAACACCAAATAAAAGCCCATAGCAGCTTCATCTTTAGCAAACCCAGAGCATGTGTGGAAGAGAATGGCATGTTACTGACATACCTCACTAGTACCCACTGCTGCTAAGCTGCAGAGGACACTGGGTTTGCTAGCAGTTGTTATGAAACACAGCTGTCTTGGGACCTAAGCATTTACTCTGGTTTGCAGGGATAGTGAATGGTGAAGAGAGCAGTCTCAACCGAGAAACGATGGGCAGCCAGGGAGAAGCCATTCGGTGCCTCTGCTTGAGGCTCAGGAAAAACTATTCCGGTGCAGGATGGATTGAATTGAGACGTTAATTGGCCTTGTAGGGAGAAGTTGCTCACTGTCCAGTGTAGCATGCGGTCCTAGCTAGCAGACCATTTCCTCATTGCAAAGCAAGCCAGTTCCCACATGGGTCTTTATATATCCCTACACACAGGCAGAAATGTACCATACTGTGCTCCAAAGTAATGTGATCGCTGAGTATACTGTACATGTCAACCCACTCCCCTAAGATGTGTTACTTCCAAATGCAGTTTCATTTCCACCGTCTCCAGAGTGACAAATGGCTATAGATTTGTGAGCTAACTTTTGGTAATAGACGTGAGCTGTAAATAGACATGTACTTGATCTGTCCTACACTCTTCAGCTCTTTCAACATGTCTTCTGCGTGCAGACTGTGTTTGAGAGTATTGACAGCGCTCCCTTATCAGTAACTGGGGTCCACCTGCTTGTCCTAGGAGTGTGAGGAGAGAGTAACTGTTCTTCATGGCAGCCTGGGGAAGCCGCAGTATGCCACTGTAGAGGACTGAATGAAATTCCCCGTTTGTACTGAGTATGTAAGGTGGGATCGAGGAAGCCAATGTGTTAAGTCAGGGAAGAGATTACAGCTATGGCAGTTGACACCGACTTTTTCCCTCAGCTGGACTGCCTGGCTTCCTGCAAATAGGCTCGGCGACTCACTGCTATAGTCCTTGGACCACAAGGAAGACCAGGCAGTTCACCCCACCCAGCTTCAGAAATACGCACACGACAGAGAAGCCTGTAAGCAGTGGAAGCCAAGAACAGCCAGGACGGAATGAAGCTTGAATGGATATACAAGTTAGAGGAGAATTTAATAAAGTATGAAAAGGATAGCTGTAGATTCATCTGCCATGTTTTAGTTTTTGGTATTACGACTCTTAAAATTCCTACAGCAAGAAACTAGGGATTGCTGAATAGGTAGTCGATTACAGGGTAGTTAATCCAGTATTAAGTCATAGGAAGCCAAAAATTAAATCTTGTGTGGGAATTTCAGACAGTCAACAGGGAGGGGACGCACCGAAACCAGCATGGCCATGGCTGCAAGGGCAGCCCCGAGCAAGACGGTTGGCGCAGCACGGGCTGCTCCAGAGATGGAGCCCTCAGTCACCAGGGCTGCCCTCTGATGTGGTCGGAATGCCGCTTCATTCATGGCCGTGGGTGGTGCTCCCTTCTCTTTAACTTGTCTTAGTGATGTGTTTTGACAATCGGTAGACTAAAGACTCCTTATCAGCTTGGTCCTGGGTATAGTCACAGAAAGTAGTCTTTGATTGTAGGCAGTCTTCTGTATCCCGTTTATATTTTGTTTGCACTACTGAATGGGAGGGGTTAACTGACGTTTTTGTGGTTTTTCATCCTTTTCTGTGAAGTTCCTGCACAATAGTAAACGCAGATTTCTCTCCAGAGTTATTACAAAAAGTGTATCAGCGCTGTCCACAAAGGGTGGGTGATAACAGTGTCTTCTATGGGATTTTTGCCCTGCGAGTGCTGTGAGCCTTCTGTCTGCAGGCAGGAGGGTCAAAGGAGCTCTGGGCCACAGGTATGCTAGCTCATGTCGTGATGGGTAGAGACTAGTGTGTTTGGGACCAAAACCACCTAAGTTGGAAATTTCTGGATCACAAAGGAGCCTGGCATACTCTGAAGCAGTCACTGGTTGGTGCTGTCTGGCAGCCATGTTGCGTCAGCCCTCCGTAATCACGAAGTAGGCTCTGAGAATATGCTGCGGGTTCTGAGCTGGAGGGGACAATGGCCACAGTCAGGTGAAAGATACAGTCTGAGGCTTTCTGCAGAAATCCCATCCGAGGGTTTTTACATTTAATATTTTTTTTAAAGTCTAAGGAGCAAAAAATGTATGTGTATTATAGTTGCAAAGTGTGCAAACGCTTTGGATGACTCAGTGTGTAAACTGTTGAACACGACCGGGGTGCGCACTCCTTACAAGCAAGGAGACCGTGCACTTCACGCTACCCTCGCGATTCGGTAATGAGACAGTTCTACATCCAACTGCCATTATTTGTGTTAAGTGCTTTCTCTTTCTTTCCAATTATTACCAAGTTGTATTTATTTTCTACGGATGGATTTTTGTTTTCATGATGCTGTAATGTTTCCTTCAGCTTGTTGAGCTTTTCTGCATGTCACAGTGTGTGTTTTAAGGATGACTGTAAAGGCTGTGGCAACTGTCATTCACTTTTGTAAAGGGCTGGTCACACATGGATCTGGTTTCTGATGCATTGGATGATTTTACCAGATCACCTTTTCAGAAATTTAGACATTGTGAATACCAAAAGAAACATTTTCTCAGCAAAAATTAATAGCTGGTTCTATTTTTTTTAATGTAGAGAAAATAAAGTTGATTTTTTTTCCCAAAACAATGCTTTAATTCTTAATAGTGGGATGGGTGTCTGTGCTGTCCTGGAGTCCCCAGCACTTAATGCTGCAGCGGGTGCCTGGAGCTCAGCGTTGAGTGACCGGTGAGAAAGCCGTCGGTTCCTTCCAGGACTGCGGTGGTCCGTCCTCAGTCTTCTCATTTCTGCGTGTGTGCTGCCAAAGGGTTGGCAGTCCTCTCTCTTGGAAAAAATTGTGCAAGTGCACACACATATGTGATACATTTTGCTGATGACAGATATGTAAAGCAATTAGCAAATGATAAAATGTAAATATTTGATTTTTATAATTGTCATTGTTGAACCCTCAGAGCCAGCCTGATTATATCAACCATGATTTGATTGATGGCATTATGTCCTGATATACTAACCATCTCCACATACATACACTATCATTTAGTCTAGTGTACGACTTACTGCTAAACTCTTACCCTTGTAGCTTCAGCATTAATTGGGAGTTTAGATAATTTATGTTTAATTATATCAGCACCATAAAATGAAATGATCAGAAGCCAGGTGGTGGTGGCACACACCTTTAATCCCAACACTTGGGAGGCAGAGGCAGGCAGATCTCTGTGAGCGCAAGGCCAGCGTGGTCTACAGAGTGAGTTCCAGGACAGCCAGGACTTTTACACAGAGAAACCTGTCTCAAAAAGACCAAAGACAAAAGCAAATGAAATGATCAGCTCTTGGAGGCAAGTCTGAGCTACCTTCATCACACCACTGTCCTGGTCTTTTGATGTTTGGATTTGATTTAGCTATTAGCATTGAATAAAATTCATAGAGGTGATTTTCTCATTGGTCCAAGAAAAATCCTATCATTGACCCTTGCAGGTTTCAAAGTATGGGGAAGAGGCCGGAAATTAGCTTTAGATTGTGGGGAGTCTGCTGACAGCAGGGTTTTCAGGGAGCACAGTGGCCAGGTCTCTTTGTTTCCCAGAGCTGTGGAAATGTGGTCTGCCTGTCCCAAGAAATGTTTTTTTCTTTTCTTTTCTTTTCTTTTCTTTTCTTTTCTTTTCTTTTTAACATTAAGAGCATTGATGGTTTAGTTTCTTGTTTGTGAAATACCTTCGACCCCATTGAAAACTTTTAATGTGTTAAAATATCTCGCACAATCCTACCAAATAAGTTAAATAGTTATGGTTCAGTCTACCTCTTCTTTTCCTGGCTGGATTTAGGCTGCTGGTTGGGTGGGGCTACAGTTTTATTTCCCCTCTGAAGTACTTTACGTGGAAGACAACAGATTAGGGGGCTGAGGCCTGAAAGCAGATTAGAGGCTCTTTGAGATCTGTTGCTGACCAGCCCTGTTCCTCATGAGTTGGGGGGAAAGCCATTGTTTTTAATTCCCACTTAATATGAAAATGTTTGTTTTAAAAAAATTGTTTCTTGCTGGTGAAAAATGTATTTTTAAAAGGAAAAACCAAATCCTCTTTTGGTCTGAGGATTCAGCTGTATGAGCAGGTGTGACCGTATCATAACATGCTGATGTCATAGAAATCAATAAATTTTTACCTCTCAGGAGTCGGGTGACCTTGTTCTTAACGCTCAAAGGCCCACGGTCCAGGATGCACAGGAACAAACACACAAATGCAACGTGGGGGTAGGGAGGGCCCCTTTCACAGTCAGACAACACTTCAGTGAGTAGATTAAGCCCGGGTACAAGGGAGAAACTGGAACCAGGGAGGTGCTATGGTTCTCACCCCCGGAAGATGCTCTGGAGGGTAGGGATAGGCACTTGTTTGGTTGAAGCAAGGGAATTTCCTGTTTTTAATGTGTGCGGGTGCTTTTTACCTACATGTGTGACTGTGTGCCATGTTCCTACTTGGTGGCCCCTGAGGCCAGAGGAGGCATCTGGTCCCCTGGGACTGGAGTTACAGTTTTAAGTTGCCATGTGGGTGCTAGGAATCAAACTTGGGTCCTCTGAAAGAGAAGTCAGTCAGTGCTCTTAACCACGGAGCCATCCGTCCAGCCCTGCTTGGTGGTTGTAGGAAAATGTGAAACTGAGTACGAGACCCTAAAGTTAACCAGTTGCTGATTTGTATTCCTCAAAGTTAACCAGTTGCTGGTTTGTATTCCCCTAAAGTTAACCAGTTACTGGTTTGTATTCCCCTAAAGTTAACCAGTTACTGGTTTGTATTCCCCTAAAGTTAACCAGTTACTGGTTTGTATTCCCCTAAAGTTAACCAGTTACTGGTTTGTATTCCTCAAAGTTAACCAGTTGCTGGTTTGTATTCCCCTAAAGTTAACCAGTTACTGGTTTGTATTCCTCAAAGTTAACCAGTTACTGGTTTGTATTCCTCAAAGTTAACCAGTTACTGGTTTGTATTCCCCTAAAGTTAACCAGTTACTGGTTTGTATTCCTCAAAGTTAACCAGTTACTGGTTTGTATTCCCCTAAATTTAACCAGTTGCTGGTTTGTATTCCTCAAAGTTAACCAGTTACTGGTTTGTTTTCCTCTGTTTCACTTTGGGTCCCAAAACTGCCAAGTCTCTTCTGCAGTTTTCTGTCAGTTGGTACTGTATCAGGACCAGCTGGTAGTCAGTTGAGGGTGCAGAAAATAGGTACCCAAAAAAGGAGCAGTCAGAAGAACTGTGGTGTTGAGAAGAGGAACCCATTGGTTGACAAGGAAGGCCAGGTGCCCTGTCCACGGCAGGTGTGCATACTCCAGATACACAGGCTGCTGTGAGGGTCAGTGCTAGAGAGTCAGCTCCCATACCACCTCCATGTCTGTTCACGTACACCTGCCTCCCATTCCAGGCGACTGTCCCCGGAGCAGGAGCAAGGCATGCTTAAGTCACCGGGACTCGCTCTCAGGAATTCTAACAAAGGGATGGTTCACAATGCTGGTGACTCCAGCCCTTCCTATAACCAGAGCACCTAAGTTCACAATAAAGCTCCTTCTCTACCGTGGTATGTACATGTTCCAGCCAGGACAAAGGGGGGCACCAGTGTTTGGATCCATCTTGGACACCTTGAATCCTGATGTAAGACAATGGGCAATGGCAAGTCAGGGCTCCCAGAAGCACAATCAGAAGCCAACAAGACCATCCCAGGAGCAGCACTGCTTACACCAACCAGTGACTGCTTCAGAGTATGCCAGTTAGTGTAGGTTCAGGGTGGGAGGGTCTAAAAATCTGCCTTCCCATGCAGAATCTGTGCCGGAAGGAGTCAGAAGTCATCTCTGAAAGTCAACTATGGAGTACAACATTCCTCGGCTATTTAATGAAGGGTATTAATTAGGTCTGGGAGAGTTCTCACGTTGCAAATCGCCAGCAATAGCAGTTGGAAATGCTTTGAGTCCCCAAATACAGGAGGGTTAAATCTGTCATACCGCCACTCATTTGTGTAAGTCATGTTAATCGAATGAATGAGCACTTAACAAAAAAGGTTTTGGCTCATGCCTAGCACGCACAAGCCCTGGGTTCAGTCCTCAGAACCACAGAAATAACAGGATTGTTTTTGCCAAGCATCGTGGGGCAACTGTGATCCTAGCAACTCAGGAGGTGGCCGAAGCTGGGAGATGCCAAGCTGAAGCCCAGGCTGCAATACATAGTGGTGAGTTGGAGACCAGCCTAGGCTAGAGCAAGGCTCCGCTCAGAAGAGAGGTTTTGTTGACCGGTCTGCACGGTGTGTGGTCAGCACACAGCACACTGGCCTCTGACGTTTCAGAGTTCGAATTTCCTTCTTTGGGGATGGTGGGTTTCCTTGTGCAGTTTCAACCCATCGCCAGCTGCTTAGAGAGCTGAGAACCTAACAGTCTCTCGGTCCCCAGAGAGAAAGTTGGCTTCTGTGGGTGCCTCTGGTTTAGTAAATTAAAAAATGTCAGAGCTGGAGAGATGGCTACTAGAGCAGACAAGAGCACATACTGTTCTTGCAGAGGACCCAAGTTCAATTCCCAGCACTCTTGTTGGGCAGCTCACAACCGCCTGTATCTCCCAGGCCAGGGAATTAGACATGCTCTTCTGAACCCAGTGATACCCACACTCGGCCCATACAGATACAGACATTATTTCAAGTAGTCTCATTTGTACAGAATGCTGAGGGTTACATGTTGAAACGCTGGTGGATTTCAAAGTTCCACAGTTTGATTCTGAACTTTGAAGTGAGCATGATAGCCCCAAACTCTAAAGGATGATTTCTTGGAATATCTGCTGAGCTCTGGCACAGTCACCGTTAACCACTTAAAAAAACGTTTGTAGTCTGGCTTGGTCTTTTTCCATGTGGAGGTGATGTGTTTTGCTGTGTTGGGTGGGAGAGGGAGAGGATGCCTTCATTTCACGCTGAAGGGAGTAGGACTCCAATCCCACAATGCTTCTGTTCTGAATTCTAGGTCTGAAACTGGCAGAGAGCAACTGGTAGCACCTGGTGCCGTGTGTCAGGGCCCAGAGAGGACCAGGATGTGAGACTCTGCCCTGGAGTTGAACCCCAGCTCCGCCCATTGGCCAATTTCTTTTTTCCCCCCGCTTCTCTCCCTGTGTGTCACACAGGGAGACCATCAAGAGGCTACTTTCCGAATTTAAGGAAACACTGTGCATGAGGCACAGAGGATGGGTGTGCTATGTATTGAAGGCTCGGGGTGCACTGCCCCAGTTAGGCTCAGTGGAGGATGGTGAAGACTTTCCGTCCTAAACCTTCACTCCCGATGCCCCCTCTTGTGCACAAAGGCTATCGATGCCCACCGGCGTATTTTCCAGAGCCTGGAGTTCCATGAGTTTCTAACAGACAAGCCGCTGACCCTACACAGACTATCCAATGCTGGGAAGAGCTTTGAGATTGGAGACACAATTAGGAAGGCGGGGAGACGGGAGTATAAGGAGGAAACCGGATCTGGGGGACAGAAGACATCACATACTCTTAAGAGAAAGCCTGCTTTTGCTTCTGAGACATGATGTCACCTGTGGTACAGGGAAAGAAATACAATTTCTGGTCTTGGGAAGCAGTTTTCTCGCCATGGTCCTCTCTGCGTAGCTATTAGAATGGTAAACATGGCATTGAGAGCCCCTGAAGCTTCAAGGAGGTCAGTGAAGTCTTGAGAACCATTCTGCTGTCTAGTTCCACCAGTCCCCGAGCCTGCCTTGAAATCTGACACTTTCCACTGTGTAGTGCTATGCTGGGTGCTCAGCGCTGAGAAGCTGAGGCACCACGGGATGCAGGCGAGGGCATGGCTGATGTTTACTGGGGGAGGGCAGATGGGGCAGCCGGTGCTGGGCCGCAGGATGAAGAGGTGGCCTTTGTAGCGGCTCTCACAAGTTGAATGGGTGTAGAGCTCATGTTTTGGCTGACCCCGTTTCCTCTAGTGTGGGGCTGTGGTAAACACCACATGGTCCTTGAAGCTCCTGCGCCCTCTCCCTTTTTCACAGCCAACTCAGCCCCTTCCCTCCCGTGACTGACTTTGCTGGCTGACAGTTTGGAGCAGCTGTTACTGCCTTTGCTTTGTAGTTTCTGCATTTATGCCCTTGGGCAACTTCAGAGGGAGGCTCTGGGACCCAGCTGGGTCCTTCCACCTTTATGCAGATGTCTACACACATGTGAAAATCCACTCTGACTCCTGTCATCTTAGGACATCTGAGAAAAAGGCACTTAGGATTGGGGGGACCGTGGGGCGGGGGTGAGCACAGGAATAGAAGCGACTTCTCTTGTGCCCAGGGAAGACTCCAGATAAGGTGAGAAGCCCGGGTGCCTCAAAGAGAAGATGTCTGTTCTGGCAGGCCTGATGGTTCTCTCTGAGAATGCCCACCATCCGCATAGAGGAGGGAACCCTGGAAGAACGCTTGAATGGAGTCCACAGGGACAGGCACTCTCTTGTCACTGGAAGACTTGTCACACAGAGGCCCAGCGGGTTGGTGCCAGGGTGAGCATGGGTGGGAGACTTCAGCTGGGGAGGGTGGGAAGAGCTGGTCCCATTCCCTGCCCCCACCGCCCCGTACCCTCGTCACAGGGAGCCTGATAAAGGCCTCCACTGTGCTCGGCCGAACCCTAGCTCTCATCACTGTAGAGGCCTCTTCCAGCTCAGCCCACCAGGATCACCCATTATCGGTGTGACCCGGCACAAAGTAAAATTGCCGAGGTCCTGGTTCAAAGCATTGAGTTATGACAGTGTTCAGAACACTAAAGCAAAGGGAGGTCACACTCTCAAAATGTCATCCCTCAGGGTACCGGCATTGAAAGGTGATGGAGACACAGCCCCCACCCCACCCCAGCCTAGAAGCTGTTTGCAACTGAAACCTAGCAAAGGGGCAGTCAGTAGATATACCAAACCTACTGCAGGGCAGACCCCGTGTCCAGAAGCAGCTGGCCAACACAAAGCAAACTCAACATTGTTGGGGTTTGGGGGGCAGAATTTTTGTTTCATTTTGTCAATTTTTTTGTCTTGTTGGGGTTTTGTTTTGACTTTCATTGATTTTATTTTTTTTGAGAAACAGAACATGAAGTTGGATAGAGCACATGGAGATGGAGAGAATCTGGGGAGTGTTGGGAGGGGAAAACATGATCAAAATGTATCATATGAAAAAATTAATTAA